TGCATAATTGAAGGAATTGGGGGAGTAATAATCACATAGGGGGAATAATAAAATCCTAGGCTTGTCTACTTTGATTAATCTTCGTGTTTAATTTGATTTCTTGCTTTGTCGTTTTAATTTGCTTTTTAATTTAATCTAGTTAATTCTCTCAAAACTCGACTGTGTAGGGTGGGCTTGATAATAATTGGTAGAATTTAGCGTCTAGGATTAAGTAATTAAATATTCCCTCTGGGTTCGATATCCGGACTTAATTGTCCACTATATTACTTGTACGATACGTGCACTTGCGTGTAGGTTTTCGACCAACAACTACCCATTATCAATGATGTATATGCCATTGACTTGAAACGACGACGTGTTATTGAAAGGTCTCACCATCAAATTTTTATTTTTATTTTTCAATTATGGGCAAATTGCATGTCACCCCCTATATTTTTTTATTTTATTTTTGCACTTTACCCCTAAAAAAAATGAATTTCTACCTTCAAAATGTTATATTTGTTGCACATTGTCCTGATAGCAAAATTCTGATGGATTATTAACCGGAATTGAGTGTGTTTTTCTTGCACAATGCCCGACGAAAATTAGCTTTTAGAACAAAATGCAACCAAATCAATATTTCGAGGGGCATTATCTCTGTTCAGAATTTTTAGGGGGGAAAGTGCCAGAAAGTGTAGTGAGGTGCATTTTGTCCAACAATTATTAAGACATCACCATCAATTGACTCATTCAATATTTATACTAATTCAAAGCTAAAAAAAAATGTTTAAACTAATTATTCCAACGTCACCTGAATAGCTGCTACATAGAAGTCAATCGTGTCCGTATAATCCGCCGGAGGCAACTCAGGGACGAAGTCATGGAATCGATCGGAATCCCTGGAAAGATTCCCCGTCAGGGGAATCAAATCATCGTCCGACACGGCGAAAGTGAGAGAAACCGAGTCCCCTTTCACGTATCGAGAAACAGGCATGCCCGTGAAGAGGGGGAAAATGATTTTCCCGGCAAGCGGAGGAAACTGTTTGAGAGTGAGGGACAACGATTTCTTGAGATTCGGGACAACGGTGTCGGAGAAACGTGATTCCGAACATCGGAAGCTGTAAAAGAAGAGGTTTTGCATGAGATGGAATGGAAACCATATCATGTCAAAGTGTAGTAGTTGGAGCGATTGTTCTGCGGCAGTATCCGGTGAGGGTGCCACCTGGCAGTGCTCAATGATTTTGATAGCCATTTAAGATGATGATGTTCTATAAGATAGCTTGAGTTAATATATATATATAGAGAGAGAGATTAGAGAGACAAATAAAGGTTGTTTATTAGACTAGTGGTAGTTTATTTGACTAATTAATTATCCCTCATTACTTAATGATTTCCACATTTGATCTCATTTCGATTTTACTAATACCGTGTTTTGATTTTTATCGTGATTTTGACCGTTTTCTAGTTTTGACAAAATTTAAAACATGAAAATTGTTGTCAGTTGAGTTAGCTTTCTAATTCAATTTGAATAAACTAAGCTAGATTGGATGTCGGGTGACAAAGTTATTCATGAATGAGTTATGTTTTGAATTTTAGATAACTGAAAACAAAAACATTGTGGGCGGTGTTTATTGATTCTTTCATATTTTTCTCAACGATATCAATTTTGCTGATTCAAGTTGGATTAGAAAATTAACTCAAAAGAGCTACAAATTTCGTATTTTGGATTTTGTTAAATTAAGACTAAAAAGTAATTAAAATCATGTTTGAAGTCGAAACAGAAACGTCATTTATCACATCTCAATCCTGATAGTTTTTAAGGGTATTGTTAAAAAAATTGAGTAATAGGAGATTTTAAAAGTAAATGTAAACTGCTTAAATTTACTATTGCTGAAAAGATGTTACTACAACAATCAGAAAAATGTAAACTCCAAAGTCAATCCTACAAAATTGATCAAAAAAAAGTCAAGATCTACAAAAAAAGTCAAATCTACAGAAATTAAAATATCCCAACTTGCAGGGTTATATGTTTCATAAATTAATTGATTACTTTAATTTATAAGCGTTTGTTAACTTGTCAAAAATGTGGATTCCATAATTTCATTCTTTATTAGTTTTATTTTACATAACACAAAATTTTATTGAAAAAAGTAAAAAAGGAAAAAAAAAAGGGAATCATTACAATAGGAAGAAGATGATCTGATAATTGAAGCATGCAATAGCATGGGGAAAAAAACAGTTTTCGCCCCTCAAATTTGCACTAATTCCACATTTGATCCTTCATGTTTCAAAAATTTCACACATTTAGTCATTTCCGTCAATTTTCCGTTAGTACTAACGGAATCAAACTTCTGGCCATCTTTGCATTAACTGACAACTAACGGTAAATTGACAAAAATGACAAAAAATGTTGAATTATTGAAACACGAAGGACCAAATATATCTTTTGTGAACATCAAATGTGAAATCAATGCAAACTGTAATTTTCCCGAAGAAAAACACTAACATGTTTCACATTGCTTCTTTGAATCCGTGATTAAAGATAGCTTCAAAAGCATCCATTTCAACCTTCTTCATCGACAACCCAATCTCAACTCCCCCTTTAAACTCCCTCGACTTACAAAGAGAAACCGAACCGCCACAATCAATATGAACCGCCTCGAACTTCTTCGGCTTTCCCCATCCGAAATCCGCACCATAAAGATCGAACCTCGGCGAACCCGTTACCCCAAATACCCTCTTCCCACTCAATTTCCGACGTTCTAGAAACCCTACTATAGAACCTTCCAGAATCGCCCTCTCATTATTCACCGTCTTTTGAATAGCCTCGTTGATCACCTCCGCACCAAAAACAATCCCTTCTTTCCCTTTTAGTCGCCCGTGAGTCGACTCGGCTTGCACGAGTCCCAAACAGTTGCCGAAGTAGTTATCCGGCAGAGGCGGATTTAGCCTTCTCCGGCAATCGGCCGTGCAAGTGAAATACTCCGGCGTATCATCCGCCACGTCATCAACTGTCGATTGGGCCAAACAAGTCCACACGTAAGCACATATTACCGCGAAAGACGATACGTTTGGTCCCGGATTTTTATTCTTGACAAAGTTCTTGAGGTGTTGGATCTCGGCTTCGGTGAGGATAAACGTGGCTCGGGTTTTATACGTCGGAAGAGAAACGGAAGATGACAGTGTTGGCTTATACGTTCTAATGATTTCCCAACATGATTGGATCAGCTTGTCGGAATTCGGAACGATATTTCTTTCGTAGAAAGGCGACAAAAACTCACGACCGTTGGATTTATTGATCAAGGCCCATGTTTGCAAGAATCCGACGGTTGAGGAACCGTCGCCGATGGCTTGGTGGTTGGTGAAGCCGACGCAGATGCCCTGGTTGGGAAACAGAGTCACCTGAACAGCTGCGACGGCGAATCTGATTTGCTCCGGCGAGTGGGTCGCCGGCGGTAACTCAGGGACGAAGTGGTGGAACTGATCGGAATCCCTGGAAAGATTATTCTCCGTCAGAGGAATCAAATCGGCGTTCGACACGGCGATTGTCAGGGAAATGGCGTCGCCGGAGATGTAGTGTGAAAGGGGCGGCGTGTTTGGTGAGGTGAGTGGGAAGATGATTTTTCCGGCGAACGGAGGAAAGTGTTTGAGAGTGAGGGAAAGGGATTTCTTGAGATTTGGGATAATGGTGTCGGAGAAATTTGATTCCGAACAGGGGAAACTGTAGAAGAAGAGGTTTTGCATGAGGTGGTAGGGAAGCCATATCATGTCGAAATGTTGGAGTGGGAGGGTTTGCTCCGGCGCCGCCGCGCCTGGCGGCGGCGCCACGTTGACTTGGTCGATGATGGTGATGGCCATTGATATTAATTTCTACTAGACAACTTCAGTGAATATATAAAGGTTAAAGAGAAGACATGGTTAGAAATCTTTCTTTAATTGCATTTCACTCCTCTCAATTTAACAAATTTAGTGATTTATCACAAAAGTAGAAGTTTTGCATTTTGCACCCCTGAGACTTGTATTTGTTGTGGCACTTTCACCCTTGATATTATTTTTTAAATTTATAAATTGCATTTCACTCCCATCAACTTAACAAATTTAGTGATTTATCACAAAAAAAGAAGTTTAGCATTTTGTACCCCTAGACTTGTATTTATTGTGGCACTTTCACCCTTGATAATATTTTTTAAATTTATATTTTCGCCGAGTAAAGCTCGCGAAGAAATGCACCGTCATATTTATTTATATTATTTCAAGAAAAAATATATCGAAAAATATTATTAGTATTGTCTGCAATTGATAATAAAACAATTACTGATAATAGTAAATTGGTAAAATTATCAAATCTGGGGTTGATATGCTATTTACATTATAAAATGGACCTAGGAACAAAAGAAAAAGCAGCGAAGTTCAAAACTAGAACGATGTTGAAATTTTAAAGTCATAAGTGAACTCTATAAAAAATGGGGTAAATTACGGTCACCCCATTGAGAAAAGACCAAATTACAGGAAAAAAAAACTCTTTTGTTTGGGTAATTACAGCCGCCTTCCTTAACTATGAATCTTCTTACACGTCCACTTTTGCGGTATCAAATTCTACAGAATCTTCTTGTTTTCAAGAAATATTCTCTAGTTTGTACTGGTTTTGTCAAAAAATGCAGTTTCTAATGCACCACAATATGTTATTTACAAGCCAATTGACACATCTTATAATCATCTTGTTTCAAAATGTGGATGATCGAATGGGATAAAATGAGTACAAACTGGAGAATATTCCACATAATCTAGAAGATTTCACTAAATTTAACACCGCTATGATGGACATGTAAGAAGATTCATAGTTGAAGGAGGTGGTTGTAACTATCCAAACATGAAGGGTTTTTTTTCTAATTTAACCTTACTTCAGGGTGGTGACCATAATTTATCGTAAAGATTATGTTGGGCCATTCAAAATCTTTTTTTTTTTCTTTTAGTCAAAAGTCAACTCTATCAAATCTTTTATAATAAAGACAGTACTGAAGGCAGTTATGAATCACAGTGATAATTTAGAAAACTACTCAAGTTGTGAAATTATTGACTTTCTCTCTTATAGTAGCAATGACATTAACAGCATGTAAGGGTTATCTAGTTAATGTAATAAGAAACCCAAGTATTCTGAATATTGATTCTATGTCGGATATGTAGCACGGACACGGAAACAACGATACGGGAAAATGGAAAAATGGACACGGGAAAACGGCATGTCCTAAAAATAGGGATACAAAAGTTTGGAGGAGACGTGTAAATATTAAAAATATAGGGGTATATTTATAAATATGCCATATAAACATGTATACAAGTTTTTATTCATATATATAAATTAATTTGTTTTTTTTTTTTCATACAAACATATTCAAAATATATTTTACTATCAACTATCAAATTGCAATTGATCATTAAATCATGTAAATAGTGTAGGAAACAACAAAAATATTTAAAAATTTGCTATTCAAACATGTCTTTAATTTTTTTAATATTGTAAAATGACCATAAGATGCGTACACATTAGGACGTTGAAGTTTCGTGCTACATAGTATTTCGGAAAATAGAAGTGGGAGCAGTAGCTCAGTGGGTTCACCGAATGAGGGTGTGACTTGGCACTGGCCGACAATGTCGGTAGCCATTAGAACCTTGGTTATCGAAACCGGGTTGGATTTGGCTGTGGAATCAGGCTCGGATCTAGTCTAATCTTGATGGAATCCACTGTGGATTCCGGATCTGGGCGTGGGTGACCGGATACGGGTAAGACTGTGTTTATGCAAATCAATAAATGCTTCTATGACATTATTTTTGCATAATCAAATGGTCACATTTTTCCAACAACAAATTTTGAATCTCCATCAAAGAATTTACCCAATTTTTTTATGAGACAGCTACAGAAATAAGGCGCCAAAAACCCCGGAAAAAAGAATCTCGTGTCCAGACTAAAAGAGATACAACAGATGAAGTTCACACCAGTTTTTTTTTTCTAGTCTAACACAAAAATCCATCACCAAAACTGATTTAGCACGAAAAGTATTCAAGCCGTCTTTGGCTTTGGTTTAATGCTCTTCACTCTCGAGTACAAGAACACTCCAGCAAGGGCAATTCCGGTACCTGCACATAAGAAGCACACGTCAATCAGAAAACTGATATTGTGGTCTTTTGATTGCAAATTTTGACTTTTAGAGGTTTTGGGAGTAAGGGCGAATCGGTCATTATACCTAGAGAGTTGATAGGTGAAACAGGTGAGCGGAAGAAGAGAACAGAAGTGACGATCACCACCACACGTTTAACACAGTTTCCTACGGAATGAGTCACAGGAGATACACGCTGCAATATCATGTAAGAAACCTGCATAAAAGAAACACATATTTCCGGGTCATTTATTTTTTAATCTAATAATGAAACGGGAAATCAAGAACTCGGGTCATAATTTTTTTTCCTAGAGCATCTATTCAAGTGTAACTACTCAAACTTGAAACAGTCAGCAGATTACTTTCACGTCGTTTTGACTGTTTGAGAAATATAGATTGCTCGCCATAGTAAATGCAGATGAATGAAATCAAACTAAATTAACGATAGATGCTTGTATACTGGCCAATATTAATTAAAAAAAATTAAAGAAAATAAAAGATTCTAGCAGCCCAAGAAAAATCGAATCATGGTTATAATTATTGGTTCAATCTAAAAACTGGGTTTTCTGAATTTCTCCATATGTTAGTGTAAAAATATTCAGAGATGAACAGATAAATACTGGTTTGCACTTTACGACTATTGTGTCAAAAGCACGTGCTAATATACTCTGATAAATGCTTGATATTGCAAAATGTACTATACTAAATGCACCAAGTACTATGCAAGTGTTCATCATATGAAAGGCTTGACAGTGCAAAATGTACTACACTAACTGCACTAAGTACTACGGAAGTGATTCATACGAAAAGAAATTATCCAAGGCTTACCTGCTGATATGCATGGAAGCAGAGAGCTGCTATGAAGGACCTAGTGTAAAGCTGATTGACATTCACACCCTGACAAAATAATAAATAAAAAAACATTACTTAGAGTTAGAAATTTCATCCATATTCGAAATTAATGAACCAACAAACAAAAGTAGCTCTCCTAACAAAGACCGGAATCAAATAAATGAAGAGCAATATCTTGCTTTCGATAATTACTTACAGCAGCCTGAAGTTGTGACGGTGTAAACTTGATGCCTTCCATGAAAATGGCAGTAGGGGCCATCAAGAAAAAGGACATAATAGTAATTATCGAGAAGAGAGTTATGTTGTCCAGTGAATCCTGCACAAAGAGAAATCGAAGCTTGAAGCACTATTTCTATAAATCTACTACAAGAAAAGCCAATTATTTCCTTTTCTTCCGAGTGCTACAAACAGAATCTTGCAATAATCTAGCATTTCAATAAACACTAAACATAGCATCTTCCGGGAAACATACCTCTTTCTTAACCATGAATTTCTTGCTAAGAACGTTGCGAGATTGGTTCGTCAAATTTGATGCCATAGCACTCCAAAAACCAGCCCTTAAAAAAAAACGACAGTAATACAAATTATGTGATTAGATATTGAAATGAAAAAATGTCACCAAAAAATTTAAAATAAAGACAATGAAAGCAAGCAACGATTCACTTGTGATTCTTTACCAGTTAAAAGAGGCCTCGGTCATCGACGCCAAACCCACTCCACCAACGATTGGTAAAAGCGAAGAAACCACCCATAGTGTAGGATACTGCACAATGAGATTTGTCGAAAACAGAACGATTAAAATTAATTCCATAATTCAAATAAAAAACATTATTTTCACATGTTTAAATCAGGATACAAGGATATATTATCTTATCAGTAATCACAAATATTATGAAGAAACGAGATTCTTTACCTCTCCCAAAAACATAGAAGAGAGGACAACTGAGAAAAAGGGCTCCATAGCTTTAATTGTGTGAGTGAAGGAAACGGCAACTTTTCCAAGACTCATATTAGTGAAGAGGTTGCCTAAGGTATGCACGAATGCCAACGGAAGAATCGCAAGAAGCTGCAAATAATGAAAAAAAAAAGGTTAATATTAAACCGAACGAGAAAAAAATATCGAAAAGGTTTTCCAGGTTCAACGGTGGATACGAGTGAATACCTGGGCCCCACTGATTTTAGGACGTTTGTAGAGATTGAGGGTCCACATCAAAGTAACGAGCACAGTTCCAACAGCAAATTGAACGAGAGTGACTGTCATTGGGTAGTGGAATGCTTTGAGAACCTATTACAAAGATGAAGCATTCATCACATATCAATCTCCGAGAATCGACAATTTAAATTTGAAAATATATCAGCTCCAAAATATCACTTCACTTCGGAATCTTTTTTCTTTTAAAAAAATCCGTCCTATAACATTAGTAATGATGCAATGCTAGCAATTCTCAACCACTAGTTTTCACTGTAAAATTACAATAGCACTTCACTATTTCAAATCTTAACTAAAATTTCACGTAGTCGAACTTCACTAATTATTTTTGACAGACGCAGTAATTAATAATATGAGTTATAAACACAAATATACAGCAATCGGCTCGTGCAAGCAAAATCATGATACTAAAATTGTGGGGAGGAAGTAGCCCGAACTAAATCATGATACTAAAATTGGTCGATTTATTTTGCTTCAATCGTGAATCCAATTAAACCCAAAATCGAGCCACTTATTATCAACCTGAAACAGATATTTAAAACCTTTAAGAACAGACATTAAGCGAAAACAAATCATACTCGCAATGTTAATACTGTAAATATAATAAAAAGCAATAAACAAATCCAATGTTTAATAACTACCTGCTTGTTGTAGATATTGAAGTAGATGTTAAACAGGTACCAAAGTCCAAAGAGCGTTCCAAGGACCAGAGTATCCTGAAAGCTCTTCGATTTAGGGGTTTCCGCCGCGCCGGCGCTCTCCGCGGTGGCCTGAACAACAACAACTCCATCGGATTTGGGCTCCGGAGATCCCGGAGTGGGCCCGGAAATCCAACCGCTCTGGTTCAGCGAGCAGCTAATCGGGCTCAATTTCCGGGTGGTGGAAGCGAAAAGAGCGGCGCCATTGGTTAAGCACTGCCGGCCGGGGGTGGAGACGGAGAGAGGGTTAAACCCTCGGACGGGGAGCTTGCGAGGATGTGTGGAGAGAGAGAGAGAAGGCGAGAATGCAATCGTCGAGCTCTGCATTTTGATTTGATTTCTCAGATCAAGAGAGAGAACTTAGAGAGAGAGAGAGAGAGAGAGGGAGAAGGTTGTATGTATCGACTGTACGTATATATTTGTGGGGGGTGGTTGGAGAGAGAGCTTTGGTAGCTCCGTCAAGAAGCGAGGAGAGCGGAAGTGTGAAGCGTTGGAGAGTGATGAGTTGGTGGCAGCGGTATTAGGGTCCGAAATTTGTACCTATTTGTGGGGGTATTATTGGTATTTTTCTGTTTGCCTTTGTTTTTTCCGATTTACTTTTTTAGGAAGTGTGGATATTGTAAAATGTTTGGTGAGATGAAAACTTATAGAAGTGTGTATAATTTATAAATTAAATGTACATCAATTTATTTATTTTTCTGATTTTGTTTTTGAAATTGTTTTGGATTGGAATCGAAATATCTATGGAATTTTTAGGTTTTAAATCCAATTTCAATTTTTGGAAATAATTCCGCAAAAATCCATTTTTCGAAAACTGCATTTCCCTTCAAAATGTTATTCATGTTGCACGGTGCCCCGATAGCCAAATTTCGATGGATTATTCACTGAATTTGAGTGTTTTTGTTGCAAGTTGTCCCTTTAAATCTATTTTGGTTATATCTTGTCATTTAAAAATATTATTTTTCTACACGTTGTCCCTTTAAAATGTTATTTTTGTTATACAATGCCCAACAAAAATTCATTTTTGGGGTAAAGTGCAACTAAAATAATACTTTGAAGGGGGTTATCCGTTTTTTTTAAATTTTTAGGGGGGAAATGCGAAAATAGAAAATGTATAGGAGGTGAACTGCAATTTTGTCCTAATAAATATTTTTGGATTTTATGGGGCACAGGCTGGTGAGAAGTGAAAGAGAATTGACCAAGAGTTAGGTGAATCACAAACGTAGCATACAAAACCAAATTGCTAGCTATTTTTCTCAAATTTAAATTTCCATTCTAAATTAATTTAAGGACAAAATGCACTTCACCCCCTACAAATTCTCATTTTTGCACTTTCCCCCCTAAAATTTCAAAAACTGGATAATCCCCCTTCAAAATATTATTTTGGTCGCACTTTGTCCCAGAAGTCAATTTTTGATAGGCATTGTGCATCAAAAATAACATTTTATAGGGCAAATGTGCAAAAAGATAATATTTTTAAGGGCTAACGTGCAACAAAAATACTAAAATGCTGATGAATAATCCACCGAAATTTTGCTTTCAGGGCAAATGTGCAACAAAAATAATATTTTGAAGGGGGCATTCACTTTTTAAAATTTCGAGGGGGTAAAGTGAGAATTTTATAAATTTATAGGGGGTGACGTGCAATTTGCCCTTAATTTAACTTCACTGTTGAATAAACGTAATTAAATTAGTACACACCATTATCTTTTCAACATAATATGCAAAATTATTTTTTCAGTCTATCACAATGAAAGATACAAAAACATTTGCTCAATATAACACTGATGTACTTTCTCTGATCAATCTCCATGGCTCTTCAAACAATCATATATAGCCTGTAGAATTCAATGTTAGTTTCTCCGTTTTTCATACGGAACATACGTGTTCGTAATTTTAAAAATATCGAACAAAATATCAGAGTAGAACGAATAATTGCAGCTTAACTAGCTGAATGACTAACCTCGTGAAGAATCAATATGGTGATTCATGGCTGGATGTTCCCGGATCATCCCACGACGAATGGACAAGAACAAATAATGAATTTCCGTCGCCATATTTGTCGTCAGAATCCCGTCTTAACTTGTTTACACAATTCACAACCGTAGGGTTACAGTCGACGATGCTAATGACTAGAAGAGATGTACCAAATGCGAGAGGCATCTCTTTTAACTTGTAGCAATGTGCGATGCGAAGAGCCTTAATAGCGGGGATGCATTCATGGTCATTTTGAAATGTCCATCGCTCCAGATCAATGTCTTCAATCTCAAGAGATTTAAGCCTTTGGAATTCGTTGTCACGAACCTCCCACTTTGGGCCTCGAAAGGCATAGCATTTTAAATAGAGATTTGTGAGATTAGGCAATGAAGAAATCTTTCTCATTTCTTCCCACGGATATCCTAACCCGTTCAAAGTTAACTTTGTAAGACTTGAGGGAAAGTCTGAAAGACGAGCAAGTGGGGCAACAACCTCAGCCTTGAATGTAGGATTCATAACGACACATGCTAATGATTTTAGTTCACGGAGATGAGAAACATGGTCAAAGCAGCTCGAGGGTTGGTCAACATTATCGTGAGCCAATTTGATTGAAATTTTTAACGTCTTTAGATTAGGCATTCTTTCAAAAACATCTTTGTTACAACTTTGAGGATGCACGTCATAAAGTTCTAAAAGGTTTGGTAAGAAAGATCTTTCACGAGGATCTGATAGTTTACATCCCGCAATATCAAGTTTCCTCAATTCTTTCATATCCCATATCTCTGTAGGCATATACGATGAATTATCTTCAACTATCAATTGTCGACGGACGATCAACCACTGAAGGTTCCAGAGTTTGGATATGACAGAAGGGATGTTTCCATTATAAGTGAGGGAAAGGTATCTTAGTTGAACTAATTTCAGTATTTCTATTGGGAACTCGTAGAATCTTATTGTACAAGCGTGGAATACCCTCAGAAACCTTAAATGTTCCAAACACAATGGTAGAGGATAGTGATGATATGGACCGCTACATAGGAGAGAGCGTACCGTTGAAGTAGATGCAATTGAATCGTGCACATCTTCTATGGCAAGTAGAACATTATTTCGAATGCACAATCGGCGTTGGCTTTCTATACCTTCTTCTGGTAAAGCATCGGCACGACAATTTAAGGCATAAAAAAGCTTGTTCTTGGCAGCTTCTTTGTTACACATGTACCATAAGGATGAATGGAGGCTATAACATGATACTTCAATGTCTGACATGATAACATTTTTTAAAACAAGCTCAAACATATAATAAGTACAAGGCTCTGCGAACATCTTGACCATATCCGAGTGAGGAATTCTTTCACGAAATTGTGCAGCTGAGTAGAGAAATCCTTCAGCGCTCCACAAGCTCCATAAGAAGGAGAGCTCGGCCCAAGGTATCTTATGGAGCTGAGGGTAAACTCCCATGTAGAGAAAACATGCTTTTAAATATTGATTTAAGTAGTCATAGCTTGGAAGTAGTACCTTTGACATTTGATCATATGCATCCTTGTATACTGAATCTTTTACATCTGATACCTCGTTCCAGTACTCTGTTGTCTTGTCAGATTTGGATAGGATATCGGCAACAGTGACGATTGTAAGAGGAAGACCTTCACAATTCTCTGCAATCTTCTTTCCAACTTTCTGGAGCTCGGAAGGGCAAGTCATTTCCCCAAACACTTTCTGATGGAGAAGATCCCAACTCTCTTTCTTATCAAGGAAAGGTATTTTATACTGAAATTTGGCGGGTGCAATATCAGCTACTTCGCCTAGCCTAGTAGTCATTAGTACTAAACTTTGATTATCGTTGTCTGGAAATAATTCCATCAAGTCTGAACACAGCTCTTTGTCCCATATATCATCCAACACGATGAAGTATCTCTGATCCTTTAAGCTCTCGCACACCATCCTTTTTAACTCGGCTAACATTTCTCCATCCATATTAGTTATTTCAAAATCAGGATTCACTTGTCTTAGAATATCCAGCAAGACGCTTTTTAATAGATACTTCGGGCCTATCGTCACAAACGCACGTTTGTTGCAATGACTCACAATCAATGGATCCCGAAAGAATTTCCTGGCAGCAATAGTCTTACCAATGCCAGCCATCCCGTAGATCGAGACAATCGTTCGTGAACTACCTCGATAGTTGATTGTGAATAAATCTCTAAGGAATTCAATAAAGTCTTTAGATTGTCCAATCACTGAATCATGATTTCCACCAAAATCAATTATTGACGACGGGCCCACACGATCGTCTTCTTCTTGTTCTTCAGGTGAAGGATTGTGCAACTCGTGGATGTAGGCCGTCTTCATCACCTTCACCGTTTCGATAAAGAAATCGACATTTTGCTTTTGGTCTTGAAGATCTATTGCGAACGATGGAGGATGAATCTGATCTTCATGATGGCTTTCTTTTGATAGTGATTGAATCTGATCTAAGACATAGGATTCTATTACATCTTCAAATTTGTATACAACATCTATCATTTCTGCCTCCAATGTTTTCACCATGTTCATGTTAATGGTGCTCCTCCATTTATCGAATTCTTCAAGAGCATCTTGGAATGAACAAACCTCCTCGTACAAAAGTTTTATGATTTGTGGCGATGAATTTTGAACAATCGAAATATGTGAGGAATTCAATAGGCGCTCAATTGTCAACTTAAGACTGCCAACGGCACCATAAGCCATCTCTCTCTCTCTCTCTCTCTCTCTCTCTCTCTCTCTCTCTCGAACAGACACACACACACACACAGAAATCGTGTCTAGCAGAGTAGCTCTGATCTCTCTTTCTCAGAAAAAAAAAATCGCCAAACTGGAACAGAGGCATAAGCTGATTTGCAGAGATGAAGTAATAAGTCAACTGTATGAAATGGTCTGTTGTATAACTAGTGGTGTAATTACGTCTATCGCCCTCAAGGTTGGGTGTCATTGCAAATAGACCCTCTCGGATTCTTAAAATTAAGTTTGACACCTCTGAGGTTTGATTATGTTAGTAGTTACCCCCATCTAACCTTTGATTTCTATTTATACCCTCGATTAAATATTGGGTAAATTACACAAAGCTCCCAAAAGGTTATATTTAATTAGATATTGGGGTCATGTTTATAAAAATCTTTTTATACATGAATGTTTTTCAAGTTATAATTTTGATTGAAAATGTGTTTAAACTCATTAAGTAATATATATGTTTCACCAAAATATTTATTTAAAGAATAATTATTTGAAATTTGATAATATTGAAAAGACAATTTTGTTTTTCTTAGGAAAAATACTTAAAAGAATAATCTTAATGTTCACTGTATGCTGTATGTCGAATCGTCGATCCTACAACTTTAGAGGCCCTAGAACAATAAAAAAAAAAGAGTACGGGTCCCTAAATTACTTAGTCTTTTATATTATGTATTTGTTATATTCTATTTAGCTCATATCATTAATTTATAAGAAATCAACAATTAAAGAAGAAAAAAAATTGCCCACATTTTGCTCATATCCTTATTTTCTTAGAGGTTCTATAGATAGGTGTAATTTGGCCAAAGTAAAATAAAGATTGCCCACTTTTTGCCTTGAACTATAAATAATTGATGATATGCATCCACGGGCTCACAATATTTACAAATGCAAAAATTATTGTTTTCGTCCTTCAAGTTTGCATCGATGTTATATTTGGTCTCTCATGTTCGCAAAAAACACTTTTGATCCCTTATGTTTTAATAATTTAACACTTTTGGTCATTTCCGTCAATTTACAGTTAGTCCGTCAGTTAAGGAAGTGATGGACACACACTTTTTTAATCATGAGGAACTGAATGTACTTTTTTTATGAACATGAGTGACCAAATGTAAAATCGATGCAAACTTGAAGGATGAAACTGTATTTTTCCCATTTACAAATTATAATTCGCTTTTCTTTCTCATTTTATTTAGGGTCAATAGCATTTAACCCCCCATGTGGTTACAAACTTTTGCAAATGACCCCCTTGTGTGCTTGTAATATTAACACATAATCCCCTATAGTTTATAGGGAGTTCCGTTAGTTTTTCTGTCAAAATTAATCCCATGGGCTATGTGTCACAAGGCAAAGTATTTTTTTTGCAGATGATCCCCGTGTGCTTTCATTTTCTCTTTCATTTTGAAGTTAGACACAAGCGGTTAAGTTTAACGAAAAAGTAACGAAAGCTACCGCATAAACCACAAGGGGTCATGTGCTGATATTACAAGCACGAGGGGTCATATGCGAAAGCTTGTAATCACATAGGGGTTAAATGCTATTTACCCTTTTTTTTTTTATAAACATGATCTCATATATCAACAGCACAAATTAAACATCCCACACCATTATTTTTTTTAATGAAATAAACATCTCACGGTAGACATCATTAATTTTTTTCAACAAAATATGCAAACACACTTATATTTTTTCAGTCTCACAACGAAACATACAAAACATTTGCCCAATACTACTGATGTACTTTCTCTGACCAATCAGTACATTTGCCGAATAATTACAGCTTTACCTGAATATGCAGAAGAATGACTCAACCAACATATGTCCCATCATCACTGAACATAAGAGACTATAACAAGTACTGAACGTTCTTGATCACCGTATTTGTCTTCCCAATCCTTCTTAAATTTCTCTTCACAACTCACTGCAACTAGCTCAACGCTTTGAAGAGATGTACCGAATGTCACAGGGATCTCTTTCAACTTGTAGCAATGCTTTATGCTGAGCGACTGTATCGCATGGAAGCATGAACTCGAATCATGAAACGTCCATCGCTCCAGATCAGTGTCTTCAATATCAAGAAATTGAAGCCTTTGGAATTCGGTGTCACGAACCTCCCACTCTGGGCCTCGAAAGGCATATGAGTGCAATTTCAGATTTTCAAGATTTGGCAATGAAGAAATCTTGCTTATTTCTTCCCACGGGTATCCTAAGCCGCTCAGAGTTAACAACGTAAGGCTTGATGGCAAGAGTGAAAGAGGAGCAAGCGGGGTAACAACCCCTGTCTTGAATACAGGATTCACAATGGCACATGCTAGTGTTTTCAGTTTATTGAGATGGGAAATATGGTCAAAGCAGCTCAACGGTTCAGAAGCATCGGGACCCAATTCAATTTTGATCTGTAAAACCTCTAGATTAGGGATTTTTTCAAAAACGTCTTTGGTACAACTTTGAGGACTCACACCATTAAGTTGTAATAGGTTTGGGAGGAGAGATCCTTCACGACAAGGGTGCGGTAGGTCTCGTCCCAAGGCTTGAAGAGACTTCAATTCTTTCATATTCCATATCTCAGAAGGCAGATACGATGGATTCCCGTCAGATTGTATGATGCTTTGATGACGATCAACGTTCAAGTACTCAAGGTTGAAGAGTTTGGATATGGAAGTAGGGAGCTTTTTATCATAAGTAAGGGAAAGGTATCTTAGTTGAACTAGTTTCACCACTTCCATTGGGAACTCAAAGAATCTGATACTGAGAGTGTGCAATACCCTGAGCAACGTTAAATCATCCAAACACAACGGTACCGGGTAATGATGATATGGACCAGTGCATAGGAGAGAGCGTACCTTTAAAGCAGATGCAATTGAGCTGTGGACATCTTCAATGGCAAGTAGAACATTATTTCGGATGCATAATCGTCGCTGATAGTTTAGATCCTCTTCCAGTAAAGCATCATCAAGACAATTGAAGGCGTAGAAAAACTTGTTACTCGCAGCTTCTTTGTTGCACATGTACCAGAAGGATGAATGGAGGCGATAGCAGCATACTTCTTCGTCATACATGATAACGTTTTTGGAACAAAGTTCAATCAAATAATAAAAGGGACGATCTATGGCAAATATGGCATTATTTGTGTAAGAAACTGGTTCCGAGTCAAGAAACCCTTCAACACTCCACAAGTTGATCAGGTATTCCAAGGGCATGGCATAATTTTGTGGGAAAGCTCCACCGTAGAGTAAGCATGCTTTTAAATGTTGTTCCAAGTAGTCGTAACTTGGGTAGAGTTGATTCGACATTTGATCATATGCATCCTTGTATACTGAATGTTGTTTATCATCAGCTACCTCGTTCCAATATGCTATTGTCTTATCGGCTTTTGACAGGATTTCGCCAACTGTGACGATTGTAAGAGGAAGACCTTCACAATTCTTGGCAATCTTTTTTCCAGCTCTCACAAGTTCATAACAAAACGACTCTTCTTCATCAAACACCTTCTTACGAAGAAGATCCCAACTTTCTTTCTCATTGAGAAATGGTATTTTGAAAATAGTCAAAGGGTCGGCACATTCAGCTACTTCTTGTAGCCTAGTTGTGATCAATACTAAACTACCATTTTTGTTGTCCGGAAATAGTTCCGTCAGCTCATAACAAAGCTCTTGGTCCCATACATCATCCAAAAGAATGAAGTATCTCAAATCCTTTAAACCTCCATACACCATCTCTTTCAGCTCACCCAATACCTTTTCTCCATCCATAAGCATTATTTCATCAATGTCAGGATTCACCTGTGTCAGAATATCTACCAAGATGTCCGGTAACCGGAATTTTGGGCCTATGGTCACGGACACATGTGTGTTGTAGTGACTCGCACTGAATGGATCTTGAAAGAGTTTTATGGCAAGAGTAGTCTTACCAATGCCCGCCATCCCTACGAGCGAGACAATCATCTTTTCATATTGCGGAAGAAACTGATATTGGATTATCATCATAAATAAATCAGATAATCCAACCATTTTAGACTCATATCCACCATAATCAGATCTTGACCCTTCTTCTTCTTCTTCTTCTTCTTCTTCTTCTTCCGATGGGTTGCGTAACTCATGAATGTAAGCCTTCTTCATATCGTGCACCATTTCGATAAAGGAATCGATATCTTGCTCTAGTTCTTGAAGGTCCACCGATATCGACAATGGATGAATCTCTTCAGATTGTAAAAGAAACTGATCTGAGAGATGGGAGTCAATTACATCTTCAAATCGGTACACTGCCTCTGTGATTTCTGTCTCCAAACTTTTAACCATCTTCATGTTAATGGTGCTCCTCCTTTTATCGAATTCTGATCTGAGAACTCCTCGCAACGAACGAACTTCCTTGTACAGAAGGTCAATAGCTTTTGGAGAGGAATTTTGAACAATCGAAATATTTGACGTATTTAGGAGTCGCTCAATTGTCAGTTGAAGAGAACCAACAGCAGCATAAGCCATCTCTGAATCCCCTCTCTCTCTCTCTCTCTCTCTCTCTCTCTCTCTCTCTCTCTCTCTCTCTCTCTCTCTCTCTCTCACACACACACACACACTGACACACACACACACACACACACACAAACAAACACTGCTAATGAAAACTGCTAATGTTCGAAGTTAGAAACTTTGGTTGATGAATGTGAAAGGAAAAAGGCCGAAACATTCTAAATATATATTTGACTATTTACATTAATGTGTGTTTTGTGGATTTTTAATATATATTAAAAATCCAACTTATATTTTTCTCCTTTTTTTTTTTTTTATTTTCTTAATCACTAAATGGCCGGCCATTTGAATTATCAACAGCATGAGCTGTAATAAAATTAGTTGAGTTTTAAAATATTACTTGCATCAATTAATATTTTAAGATAGTAGTTAGGAATCTTGTAAGAATATGGAGTTGTTGAAAATAATATTTTGTTTCCTAAAAAAAAAAATTAATAATAATAGTAATAATAATATTTTGAAACATTTTTTTGTCTACAAAATTTCGTATGTTGTACCTTAAATTATAACATCGATTAAAATTCAATTTCGAATCGACGTTTATATAATTCAAATAATTCATCTGAGGTTGATTGTTGTACATTTGTGTTTATATAATCTTCGGATGGGTTGGTAAGATATTCGAACAAGCTCGCCAAAAGAAAGACATTAATCTTCGGTCGGATTATATGTATGTGATAGAGAATTGGGGTTGTTCAGTGTTGTCACGTTCCCCGTAAGTGACATTTTCCACCCAAACCAACTTCAAAATCAAATGCCGGACCAAAAGTGAAAAACAAAGTTGTTAGTTTGAGAACTAATTTCTAGCAAAAGCAAAAAAAAAAATAAAAAAATTATAGGGACTAAAATCATTTGCGTGTATATTTTAGGGACTGGAAATTTAATTATCCTGATTTAACGACACTGGATTGTGGAATCCGACGTATATCATACATAGAATGAATTTTATATTTATAATAAAAAAATTCCTAAATCACTTAAATAATTAAATGTGAACTGAAGCTGGTTATTATATCTAAATTACCATTATTCAACAACTACATTTTTGTAAGCCTAAAAATGCAGGTATAATATTAAATAAATGACAATCGTTCATAAATGCATATAGTAACACTTAATGACAGTTATCACGTGACAAATAGATTTAAAGTCCTGATTTCTATGTCCATTCGATTATCTTTTCACATGGTTGAATTAGTAAACGAATATCTCGAGATGAGAAGAAATAAAAACAATTATATATATATATATATATATATATATATATATATATATATATATATGTATATATCTATATATGTATATATGTATATGTATATATGTATATATGTATATATATATATATATTAAGTATATATATATGTGCATCACCCCTTAAATCTCGTATATGTATATATATATATATGTATATATATATATATATTAAGTATATATATATATGTGCATCACCCCTTAAATCTCGCCCCCATTTCTTTTTGTTTTTCTTTCCGCACTTTAATTTGTGAAACGACGCCGTTTCTCACTCACCTTCCAATCACCATCGCCTGTTCATTTTCCTTTCCATATATTTTTCAATTTTAAATCTTCCTGCTTAACCTGCTTCTTTTTTATTTTATTTTTCATTTTCTTTTGTTCTCTTTTTTCCCACAATTGTTGACTGCCGACCGCCGCCAGTTCCTCCGACGACTCCGCAGCCCTCTCTCGACAGCGCGAGGCCCCTTTACAGGGCAATCGATGGCTGCTCCAACAGTAGTAAATCAATGGCTCCTCACTCTCCAACGAAATTCTCCCTCTCAATTCTCCCTCCGAACCCAATCGGAATCTCAAACTCTTCATAGTGTACTACCACGGGGAGGGACTCGCCCGCCGGATGAAGCGTCTGCGGCATCGACGCCGTGCTCTACCGGGCGCCCCATACCCTTCCCGATGAAGTCCTCGCCAAAATGCTGGCCCCACACAAGGACGATTCAATTCCCGTAATCGGTTCTCCGGAGGATTTGACCGGCGCCGATGGGTTTCTCTTCGGGTTTCTGACGAGGTACGGGTCCATGGCTGCGCAAATGAAGCCTTTCTTTGATTCGACTGTGCAGCTATGGAGGGAGCAAAAACTCGCCCGGAAAACAAGCCAGATTTTTCGTCGGCACCGGCACTCAAGGCGGCGACCAATAGACCACTGCGTAAGGCCCTCTTACTGTTGTTGCTCTTATTATTTTCTTTGTTTTGATACTCGATATATGTTCTGTTTTAATATTAACGTTTGCTGTAAGAATTAGCCGTTGATTGATTGAGTTTCCATCGATACAAATGCAAGAAATGCGTATATTGAGTTTCTTTAAAATATTTGCAAATTAGTAATGTGAATTCTAAATAAGATGCACGATTGATGATGGTGGGTTTTTTACTGGTCAACTTTTCTGAGTTTTCTGCTAAACTGATTTCCGTAATTCCTAGAGTAAATTTCTTTCGGGGACTTATTTACCAAATAAGGGGATAGCGTTTGAACGAAACATGTAGGAATCTTCGTTCGGTGACTACGGTCTATCATGGAAAAGCAATCAATCTATATGTTATTATGCAGCTTATGTTGGCAAGAAATTATGAATTTTAACGTAAAGATCGATGACTTTTAGTGTGAACAACGTGTTCGACTCGTATGTTATATCTCGTTTTGAAACCAGTTAGCAATAAATAATAAGTGGAGGTATAAGAATCTAAAACAGCTGTTATGTTTTTATCTCTAATATGCTGCATCTTCTTAATTTTAGCTTCATCGACCCTAATTAGTAGTAGAATCACAATTACGAACATGTCAAAGTGCATTAGAACTCGTGTTCGACGCAGCACGTACTGCAGAGTGCATAGTCATTGAATATTAGATATATTATGCCTTTACTTATGCCGACTTCTTTAATATAACAATGGATTTATGCCTTTTTACTTATCTTTCTATCTGCTCCGGCCCTTGCTATATGATGACATGCATAAACTTTGTTGTTAGACTTTTGTTACTGAATATTTTCCAATAAATGCACCTGTTTGCAATCAATTTAATGTTTTTGTTACTTTACAGGCCATCTATATATTATGCCGACTAGGTATAAACTTCCCTAACATTTACAGGTTATGTTTTGGCATGTGACTGCTTCAGCGTGTGTTCTGTTATTACAAATTTTGTTTTTGTGGAAATAGTAACAGAGGCCATGTCTTGAATAAGACTTTTCTAAGAGGTGCGTGTTTCCGTATTTAGAACTCTATTTTGCCTTATAATTTACAGAGATATTTTGCATTTTGCCTCTCTTGTTATGTGCCTCATGCCCTCTTACGTGACGGAATGAGACTGACGGACAAACCTCCTTAACATTTTTCAGACAGGCTATAGTGTGTTAATGCTTCAAAGCATATTCTGCTATTGCACTTTTTTTTTTTGAAGAAATGATAACGCTCCAACTGCTAAGAGTAATTTCCACAGAGGTGTGTTGCCCGCGTATTTTGAAATAGTCAGGTTGATCATCATACTCCCGAGAAGAAGCTCGTAGCAAGCTACTTTTTCAATAGAGGTTGTGAGAAGAAATGAACTGGATTCTTTATCCATTAATATTGCTTCTGGTATTTTTCTACTCTTTCTCTATGATGATTCTCAAATATTTTATTACTTTGGTGAAAGCCAATTGGACAACTTCTGAATTACATGGATTACGGTTTAACCACACAACAGGACAACATCCTTGGGGAAGATAGACATTAAACATGAGACCGTTTCCACTAAATGCAAATCACCGGAACTTGGAAAAAAGATAGAGAATATTGAAGCGTGCAATACATCAGAACTTACATCACCCAAAAGACATTGCACGGTTACATATCACCGTGCAGCCAATCTCTGGAAATAAGTCAACAGTAGCAATGATTTCGGTAATAATTTTGTGTCGACCAGCTTCTAATGTAGTATGTATACAAATTTTGTTTGACGCAAACAATTTGCCTCATTATTTTGTGACTTTTGTACTTAATAACTATGAGGTAATTTGCATCTTTATCATTATTGCAGCTGTAAATATCCATCCATATTCTAAGGCTTATGAAAATGACTCTTGGTCATCAACTTTTTTGTTTTCGGTGTTAAAGAAAAGGGGGAGAGGGGGTCAGGTGATTTACAATATCTCTGTATTTCTTTTTCTGTGATGTTAGGAAAAAATGAGTAAACAAATTTATCAAGAACATAACCCTCAATAAGGGTAAAATAAAGTGGGAATCTTCAGACAATGGCATGATTTTTTTGTTATTTTATTCAAGTACACACAATTCGGATTATGAGATTATTATTGCAGCATTTATGAAAAAAAAAAATTTCATATATCTCATTCCATACTATAATATATGCATTCTTATCTATAAATAGATAAATCCACTTTCAATTTCATTAGCATATATGGAAATGCGCCTCAATCAATTTAATTCCGTTGAAGATGTCTCGACCGTTATATAGTTTTTTAATTTTATAGATTAGATGTTGCATCATGTGATAGTAACAATGTGTATTTTACTCTAAACTCAACCTTTGAACTGTAATACTTTACATGTAAGGTTATGTTTATTGTCACTATCATCATAATTACCTCAATTATTCTTACAGAATCCCAATCCCAGTGGCATCTCGTACCGGAGGAACGAAGCTTTAAAACTAGAATTATCAATTTTACAGAGCCCGTTCTTTCTAAGTCCAGCAACGGAGATTTATGGAAGAATTTATCTTCATTGGAGCTGGGGCTCTGCATAAAAAAAAAAAAAAAAAAAAAGGAAGGAAAATCGGGCAGTCATAAAATTGGTTGCCGAAATACGCAAAGTTCAGCAAGGAAGTAGGTTCTGTGCTGCTCCCTAAATGCATAAATACATTTACTGAAAATTCTATTTCACACTAGATGCAGTACAACCAAAAAAGAACTCCACCAGCACCAACACCTTCAACATTTCATCATAACAAGTAGGTGTAACCGTTGAGTTCTATGGCGGCGAACTCAATGGAGTCAGTTATAGTGATCCTGTTACCGTAAAAAAATATGCTAGACGTGCTCAATTGGGTGAAATTTTTGAATTAGATCGTGCGACTTTGAAATCCGATGGTGTTTTTCGTAGCAGTCCAAGGGGTTGGTTTACTTTTGGGCATGCTTCCTTTGCTTTGCTCTTCTTCTTCGGACATATTTGGCATGGTGCTAGAACCTTGTTCAGAGATGTTTTTGCTGGTATTGACCCAGATTTAGACGCTCAAGTAGAGTTTGGAGCATTCCAAAAACTTGGGGATCCAACTACAAGAAGGCAGGCAGTCTGATACAAAACCACTTTGGTTTCTTTCGCCTCTATTTTTTTGAGGGAATTTTACATAGAGTACTGGAGTGAATTTGAATCACCGCTTTTTGATTCTTGCTCTTTCGAGATGATTACCAAAATAAAAAAAAGAAAAAACAAACAGGTAGGGAAGCTATAATTGTAAACCGCGATCAAATTTATGGAAGCATTGGTTTATACATTCCTTTTAGTTTCGACTCTAGGAATAATTTTTTTCGCTATTTTTTTTCGAGAACCACCTAAAGTTCCAACTAAAAAGACTAAATGATTTTTGATTCTCTCAATTGAAGTAATGAGCCCCCCAATGTTGGGAGGACAAAAATGATCATATAAGAAATGATAGATAAGTGGCGATTATATAACATCTAACGACACATGGCTATAATGAACAAAACGAAGCAAGAACACAAACTTTACTAACAACAGAGCAATAATCTATATATTTTCGAAAAGGCGTTAACGCGAATCACTTGAAGGCCGCCACACTTTGTCCGGTCCTTGGTGGCCAGCAAATTAAAGTTGGAAGATACCTTCAAGCCAAAGAAGATCGGAATTCATAAAATAGGCTCTCGAAGAAATTAACCGAGAAAATATGAGACAATACATATGCATATACCATTGACCAAGAGGGAGTCAATTAGTAATTTCTGGAAATCCACCTCCCTTGCTGAAACACTTCTGAAAATTGCAGAATCACCCCTATACTTACTCCATCTTCGCAGTCTTTCCACCAAAATTGCAAATTTGACCCCAAATTGGATCTCTCTTGCAACATCCGAAAATTCCGCCACCAACGTTGCATGCTTCGACTCCTCCTCAGCTGTAATCGTGTGTGACTCATTTACAAAAATTCGCAATACTGAGCTTAAAATCTTATAATTTACGATTCAAATGTTACGATTCAATTCATTCAAACCTAAGTCGATTCAAATGTTCAAATAAGTCTTACATATCAATAAACCGATCAAATTTTACGATTTATGCTTTAAGAAAACTTTAATTTATAATATTTTTTTATAACAAACTTTAGATAATTACAATTTTGGTCCCTATATTACATATAATTTTTTGTTTTGGTCCTTCAATCCAAATTGCCGCCCATGTGGGGTTCAGTTTGTAATTTATGGAAACCCACCTCCCTGGCTCAAACAGTTCCAAAAATTGCAGAATCACCTCTATACTTACTCCATCTTCCCACCAGCTCCACCTAAATTGCAAATTTGACCCCAAAGTGGATTTCTCTTGCAATATCCGAAATATCCACCACCAACGCAACATGCAACATGCTTCGACTCCTTCTCAGCCGTAATCGTGTGTAACTCATTTACGAAAATTCGCAATACCGAGCTTAAAATCTTATGATTTACAATTCAAACCTTATGATTCAATTCATTCATACCTAAGTCGATTCAAATGTTAAAATAAATCTTAAATATCAACAAATCGATCAAATTTTACGATTTACAATTTAAGAAAACTTTAATTTATTATATTATTTATGATAAACTTGGGATAATTACAGGTTTGGTCCCTATTTTATCTACCATTTTTAATTTTGGTCCTTAAACAGGTAACGCTCACCAAGTGGGGGTCAATTTGTAATTTGTAGAAATCCACCTCCTTGACTTAAACAGTTCTGAAAATTGCATTATCATCCCTATACTTACTCCATCTTCCTAGCCGCTCCACGCAAATTGTATTTTTGACCCCAATATCCCCACCAACGCATGCTTCGGCTCCTCCTCAACTGTAATCATGTGACTAATTTACGAAAATTCGTAATACTTAGCTTAAAATCTTATGATTTACGATTTAAATCTTACGATTCAATTCATTCATACCTAAGTCGATTCAAATGTTAAAATAAATGTTAAATATCAACATATCGATCATTGGGATAATTACAATTTTGGTCCCTATATTATATAGCATTTTTAATTTCCGGTCTTAAGCCGAAAATGCCCCCAAGTGGGGGTCAATTTGTAATTTCAGGAAATCCAACCTCCTGGCTGAAACAGTTCTGAAAACTGCAAAATCACCCCTATACTTACTCCATCTTTATAGCCGCTCTACCCAAATTGCAAATTTGGCCCCAAAGTGGATCTCTCATGCAATATCTAAAATATCTGCAACCAACACAACATGCTTCAACTCCTCCTGAGCTATAATCGCGTATGACTCATTTACGAAAATTAGCAATACCAAGCCTAAAATCTTATGATTTACGATTGAAATCTTACGATTCAATTCATTCGTACCTATGTCGCATGTTTCAACTCCTCCTAAGATGTAATTGCGTGTGACTCATTTACGAAAATTCGCAATACCGAGCTAAAAAATACATATGTCGATTCAAATGTTAAAATAAATTTAAATATCAACAGATCGATCAACTTTTACGATTTACGATTTAAGAAAACTTTTATTTATTATATTAATTAATAAAATTTGGATAATTACACTTTTGGTCCCTATATTATATCATTTTTAATTTTGGTCCGTAAACCGGAAATGCCCCCTAAGTGGGGTCAATTTGTAATTTTCTGGAAATCCACCTCCCTCTGTGAAAAAATCTGAAAATAAATCTTAAATATCCACAAATCGATCAAATTTTACGATTTACGAATTTAATAAAACTTTAATTTATTATTTTATTTATAATAAACTTGGGATAATTACAGTGTTGGTCCTTATACTATATACAATTTTTTTTGGTCCTTAAACCGGAAATACCCCAAGTGGGGGTCAATTTATAATTTCTGAAAATCCACCTCCCAGCCTAAAACAACTTTGAAAATTGTAGAATCACCCCTATACTTACTCCATCTTTTTAACCGCTCCAACGAAATTGCAAATTTGACCCGAAATTGGCCTTTTCACAACATTGTTGATCATTTGAAAGATTGATTTACGAGTTGTTGCTCGTGTGATCTTGTCTATCTCTTCTGCTGATGATTTCGTAGCATTTTCAAATGTCTACGTTGTTTTCTTTTTTCAGCTTGTTTCTCAAAATGTTAAGGTTCACCATATACACAGACACAATGAACAGTAGATATAATTAAAAAACTGTTGCAGCCACTCATCTGCAAGACTACCACGTATTGAATCAAGAAGCACCTACTACAACTATGCACCTTCTCGGTTAGCAATAAGAGATAAATTGGAATAACTTCTTGCTGATTCTAGCTCTACTGCAGCTGTACAACTATTACCTATTTTATTATGCTAGCTAGCCTTATGTTTCCTATACAACTATTACCTATTTTATTATGCATATAGAACTCGTTTTCTGCACAAATTTTATCTATTTTATTATGCACATAGAACGCCAATTTCAGGTACAACCAATCATCAAACCATTCAAAATAACCCGTTCAACTTTATTTACCTTTATAAATATCACTGTATAGTATATACTTGTGCAAATACCTGAACGGGGCACCGGCACTATCTATATATATATATATAGTATCTAGTATATATATATATAACATTTATATATATATATATATATATATATATATATATATATATATATATATATATATATATATATATATATATATATATATATATATATATATCAGTTCATGTTTAAATTGCTTAAAATAAGTATAATACTTCTATTCCAAATGCATGAGCTTATAAGTACTTGATGATGCTAAAATGTAGATCACCTGGGGTATTGTAGAAAACGAATTGGGAGAGCAAAGCGGATCAGTAGCTTATCAACTTAATGATCCTGAGGTCCATGCGAAATGAGCACACGTGAACTACGTCGGGGGTTGATCCGGCGGAAACCCCTCCGACGCTC